ACAAAAAATGTCCTATGACATTTTGCGATAAGTTTGCTAGTTTCGCGGAAAAAGTAGAGACATTTTGAAATTTACTGTAAATTTAACTTTGACCATAAATTATTTTTGAAAGAGTATATTTATCATAAAATGATAAGAGACCTTTTTTATAGAGCGTTCAATTCCCTACAAAAATATGTTTTGGTTTTATCAGTATACCTGTCCTTTGAATAGTTACAAATTTTTAAATGTTATTTAAATACAAAATGGAAAATCGGGATCATGCACCTCTTAACATTAATAGGAAGAACTCAAATTCTAATACATCCTGATAACAATATTTTCGATGTCACTTTTGCAAAAAAAATAGTCGATTTATTTGATACAGTCTGCTGTGCACTACTATTAAAAATATTCAATAAATTTTAACAATTATTTGAAGCAATTATCCAAATCGTTGCTTTTACCTGAGTTATACAGGGTATTGTAATAGATGAGGTGGGAAATGTCTGAGGAGGCGATAGACCTCGAAAAATAGGACATTCATAAAAGTAACTTTCCTAAGATCCTTCCTTTCCTAAATACAGGATGTCAAATGTATATCTGAAGAACCAAATTTTCTTTTTAAATTTTGGAAAACTGTTGATTCGCATAAGATCTGGTGGAAGAGCAATGTTTATTGTTTGCAACATATTGCTAACAGAAATAAATTTTTGGTTGCCTCATGAATGTAGCTTATCTGTCAGTAAAAAAATATATGCAACAGCAATAAACAAAAAAACGTACTCTTGTTATTTTCAGAGGATTAACCGTTTTCGGGGTAAGGTGTCTGAATAAATACCATCCTGTTTATAAAACGTGGGGCATTCAGTGCCACATCACCGAGGTCGTGACCGGACCATTTTTAATTTTGGTATTATTTAGTACCCAATTAGAGTAGCTTTCACGAATTTTTTCAAATTTTTATTTCAGCCCCATGTCATAAACATTTTTTTCATTTCGTTCGTCTTGTGATGTAGTTTTATAATAAAATATATACAGGGTGTTTGTAAATGAATGCGAAATATTTTAAGGGGTGGTTGCCGAAGTTATTTTATGAAATAAAGTTTATATAAACCTATGTCAAAATATGCTTCGTTTCCGAGATACAGTGTTTAAATTTTTTATTTATTTTTATCAATTATTTTAGTTTTAAAGCTATTGACCCGAAATTTGAAAAATGCTTTGGAAGAAAAAATGTGTATTTTTGGGGGTGATTTCTATTTGCACCTTTAAATAAAAGATTAACAAAACCTACAATAAAATAGGTTTTATTTTTTTTTGCACAAACGATGCATCCTACAAAAACAATTGAAGAGACCAGATTCATTCAGAATTAATGACGGATTTCTAAAAAAAAAGCAGGAAAAGTAGCGTACCATTTTTTTATTAAAGAAGTTTGTGGCATTCTCGCACGAACGCCACTGGTGCAAGTAGAAATATTCGGATTACCCCAAAAAATGCACATTTATCCCTCCAAAACGCTTTTCAAATTTCGAGTCAATATCTTAAAAACTCTTTCAAATAATTAAGAAAAATAAATAAAAAATTAAAATTTAAACACTGTATCTCGGTAATGAAGCCATGTTTCGACCTACATTTATACGACCTTTTTTCAGAAAATAGCTTCGGCTACCACTCCCTAAAATATTTCGCACTTATTTACAAACACCCTGTATAAAAATAATACAACTTTTTAAGGTGTTTTTTATCTTTAAACCAAAAAACCGCTTTTTGAAAAAAGTCGCGTTTTTTTCTCAAAAAAAAAGAAATAGTTTTTCAATATGCAAATTTATGAGACAGGTTATAGAATGGGATCTTTTTTTATTTGTCGTTAAGAATATTAACAGTTATAGGAGTCAAATCCTTGGAAGTAGCGCTTGAATCACTGGAGAGAATATTTAATGGAATAATAATAATAAGTCTTCTAGAAATTAATTTTTTTTATTTCATCGCTGACTTATCTTTATATAATTATATACTAAACACAAATGGTCAAAAATATAACAAGTATTATGGCGTTATGCAAAACAAACTTTGTAATACTGGAAAATTAATTCGGAATATTTAGTTAATAATAATTTAAATATTTAGTAATGACAATATTAGTAGAAGTATTTTTTTAAATATGGTATTTTTAATAATTAGTCGTCTCGATTTCCTTCTATAATAAAATTTGGTTTAATAGCGTACATTATCTGCAAAAAAATTAAGATTTCAAAAAAAAAATTCATTCGAAAAAAGAAAATAGAATAAAAAAGATCCCACTCTAGAACCTGTCCCATAAATTTGCATATTGAATGACGATTTGTCTTAGAATTTGTCAAAGAAAAAAAAACGCCATTTTTCAAAAAGCACTTTTTGGTTTAAATATCGGAACACACAGCAAGAAACTAAAAATGTATTTTTATATTTTTTTATAAAACTACATCTAAAAGCAAATAAACTAAAAAAAGGGGGCTATAATATCTTACCAAGTTGTATTTGAAAAATTTTTTAACTAAGATATTCAAATGCTCATAACTTCTTAAGAGGTTTAAATAAAATTTTGAAAAAAGTTCATGAAAGCTATTGGATACTAAACGTACCAAAAAAATCAGGAAAATTTAAAATGGTCCAGTCCCTATACCTCAATAATTTGACATGTAATGCCTCATGTTAATAGTAATAAAATTGACCTATTTTGAAGTATAATGAAGTAGAATTTGAAAATAAAAGAAAATTATATTTTATACAACTATAAACACTAAAACATGCCAATTATCTTGATTAATATACAAAAATTGTGAAATAAAAAATAGCAATTAACTTAAATTTGAACAAATAACGGTCTCACATTCCTGTAACAAAGCATTAAATGTTTTTTTTTCTGGGAGATGTTTGTTTGTAAAATTAAAAAAAACGGAAACAAGAAAGTTCTAACCAATTTTCTGTTCAGTGATGACTGCTTTAGGGCTTTCAATTTAGGTGATTTTTCAATTGAGGTTGTAGTTTGTTACCTACAATAAGTGTTCCAAATTTTAATGAAATGATTTAACCTGAAAAAGTTATAGCAAAATATTTATTCAATAAAAAAACTTTAAGGTTACGTAACTCCATTAATAATGATTTTATGAAAAAATGTCATATGAACCTGTACCATTACTTATGTGAGTGGAATCACTTCCTAAATTTTTTGCACTTTATTTGGACAATAATGTTTTTTTTTTTTCATTAACATCTGAAGCAACATAACAACTAGTCCTATGTTATAACATATTTAATTTATCATAAAAGGTCAAAAACTATTTTTGGAACTACTGGCATAAAAACTAAAAAATAACTGTTTATTATTGAAATATCAAAGAGTTCGTCGCTTCTACGACTATTGATATCTCCGACAGCAATTTTAAATTCAGTGTTATGGTCGTGATTACTATGATAATTAGGTATGTATTAGAGATAATTAAGATAATTGTACATTCATCTATAGTTTTTTTTTGTTCAGTGTTTGATTAAAATTCAGTTTTATTAAGAGTATTAATTTATGTGTTTTAAAACATCGTAACTGTAATTTAATATGGCATATTTTTCTATCATCAATAAAAACAATGTTAAAGTAACAGTAGGTCCTCTATTTTTTTATAAAACGAAGATAGAATATAACTTTGTTTTACAGAACAAACGACTTAGTAGTCATGACAAACTTTTAAATATTTTTAAAAAATTATTAGTTTTCAATTTCAATTAAAATTCTAAATATAGAAATTGTTGTTAAAATAAACAATTACCACATTGGCTTCGTACAACCAAAGATAAAAATTTTAAGAGCCGCACGTAACGTAATGTTTAGTATTTAACCTTAAACGGAATATCTTGGAAATACCACACATAGACATCAGTTATCTTGGGTACGTGTTTGTACTTGCAATTAGTATTTTATAATTACGGCGAATACTTATACAGGATGGCTAAAGTTTGTTTTTCGTGGTCAGCAGTAATAATGAAACTGAAGGTATTTTCTTTGAAGAGTTATTCAATATGTGTTTAAAAATATAATACATGTTTTGAGAAATTTTTTCGCACGCTTTCATTAAAAATTGTACAAATATTAAATATTTCATACTCGTATACCTATATCCCGTATCCACTTATGACTGCAAAATTTTTCTAATTGTATTGACTTTTGATCAAATTAATAAATCATTTTTTTCAAAATTTTAAATTCATTATGCGATTCGAAGAAGTGATATTTTCATCTGTTGTAGTTAATAGAATGATAAAAATATCAAAACATACTTTTCAAAACATCAGCAATTTTTATTTTAACTTCAAATTTTTTAAATGTCAGACAAATCTTAAATGTCAATATTTTAAATGATTATAATGAACTGCTTTTAATAAAACTGTATAAATACGAAGTATCCACTGTGAGATTAAATTTTTTTTAATTCGTACTCAAAAATTTAACCCAAAATGAAATATCTGAAATCTTTTGAGATAAACTCGACTTAAATCGTACGAAAACTGAAAATAACTGTATTTGACAGTTATTTTTTATTACAATTATATATTTGAAAAAATACACACTTCTTCGCTTTTAGGCGTGTGAATAAATAAATTACTTATTATTTTCGACATATTTGCTGCACTTTTTGAATGAATAATCTATTGGATTTTCATCTTTCACAATGTATTTTTGTTTCTGTAGTCACTAAACATTTAAACACAATCATTTGAATCGTTTTCAATTAGTTCAATATATTTTTCCATTTTCCAACAAATATCCCCGGAAGTGAGGGGTTTTTGACGGTTGAGTTTAATTCTGGAATCTGTTGGAAAACAAAAAAAATCAAAAACAGACCAAAGGCGAACGATATCCAGTTCCTTTGCACGATTATAGAGGCACTTTATCACACAAAAAACAGTCCTTTGGGGCGATTGCACATTTTCGAGCGTAACACTCTAGTATACTCCTTCGGAATTCTTCTGTGTTTACTTACTTTTTCATAAAGTGTTCACCTGTTTCGAGTTATCACCGTGCACTTAGCTGGAAAACTGGTAAGATGCCAAGAGAACCATCTTCTTTATAGCCGCGCATCTTTTGATATTTACAACTTGGTATTGACTCATGGCTAATGTACCACCTCCCTATATCGGAATCTCCTGCTGTTACCTACACGGTGAGCCAGAATACGTCGCGGTACGTCTCCGTTGCGTGCCTCTTAGTAAAAGTGACTTCGCGGGAAGAAATTAATTCGGGCTGCAGTTGTTCACTTACGCTTAGCGATTGTTTAATCAACTGTAATGTGTTTTCAGTTTATATTGTGCATTTACATCATTTTTGGATAATATGTAGTGCGACAAATTTCTTAGTTAGTGAAAAGAAGTATTTGGATGCAGTTTAATTGAAAATAATTATATTTTTTGCCGATTGGCATTAAAAGCGTAGTTTTAGTGACAGCTGTTAAACAATAAAGTGTCACATTTATTGCCCAGGCATTAGAATCATCTTTACTGCCGCTAAATTAATAATTAAAATTTGTTCTTTAACGAAATTAATTTTATTTATTGTAAACATTTATAGTGAAATTAGAACAGCCTGTAAGGGATATCCCTTGTCCTTTTTGTTTTAAAACATTTACGTCGTCTTTTTTTTATTTTTGCTAAAACTGATTTACGAGTTATGGACTCATCAATGTAACCTCAACTACCGTTGAAAATTTCCATCCAGCACGCATTTTTAAAGATGTGATATCACCTCCTGAATTTATTAATGGCATACCTAGCTGAAGTTCTACGGAAATAATGTCTGGTATATTCGTGAGCATCCTTCAATTTGAGAAACGCAGCAACTTGTTTTGGCATTTCCCATTCTTAATTGGTTATATGCTTTACCATTTGAATATTTAAAAAAATCTACTACTATTTGTTTGTGCAGCTCTTGCGGTACTATATTTCCGTTATATGTCTAAATATTCGCTTACAATAAAGGATATTTTTTTCTTTATTTTTGTAGTTGACAGAGTTCCCATATCTTCAATATCTCCAAATTTTATTTTGAAGTAATTCATCACATCGACACGCCCCAGATATGGAAAAAATCATTGCCAACTTCGATTACAAAAATATTTTGTTTATAATTACCTTTGTACCTAAATACGTATCATCACGAACCTACATTAAAAATTTTTCAATTTATTCATTTTCTAAAACGTGCGATTTTTTAGCACGATATCCATCCGATTTTCTGGTAATAAATTACATTCTATTTGCTTTGCTGATTCTATAATTTCTGACGGAGTTAATGTGAATTCATCCATCTCAAATAATAAATAGTTATTTTTACGGATTTAAATAGGAACAATATGGCGATTACTGTGTACCTATGTTATTTATTTAAAGCTCATCTCATAGCAACCATGGATGCCCTGATGAAATTATTACGATTCAAGAAAGAGGTATCATACAATTTTAATAATATAAAATAAATAGCTTTGTTTGCTATTATGATAAAAAAAATCATGTGTTTAACTAAACAGTAAAGTGCAAGATTTAATGCCGCGGCTGGTTAATACACGAGGCGCAGCCGAGTCTATTAAATCTTGTGCTATACTGCCTATATAAACAAATAACTATAATACTTAAAATTGAGTATTGGAGTTGCTTACATTCACATTACATAGAACAAGAAAATAGACCCATTATTATTATACCGGACGTCCCAAAAAGTCCTCAACCGACCAATTACTTTCTAAAAAAAAAGTTTAAAATAAAAGTCATAGGATATCAAATGCTTGATGACCTTGACCTTTAATTTCAAGATCAAACCAAGGTCAGCTTGAAAATATTAAATAGCCAGCAATTGATAGAGCGTCAAATTCTACGTCTGAGTTTGTGGTCAGAAAATTCATTTGTAGGTTAAACTCATTTTTCTCTAAATAACTGTCTAAAATTTTACAAGCAAAATATGTACGATTTTGGGTCACATTGAATGGTGAACTTGAATTTGACCAAACAGCTGATCAGTCACCAGAAAGACCCTGTCATTAAATTTTAATTAGTAGTACATTAAAAAAAATAACTACACATTTTTGGTATTAGTATTATCAATCAATAAAATAAAAATCAACCCTAATATTTTAAATAAACAATATCAACTAATAATGTAAGAAAGTCAACATTAACATTTGAAATAAACTGATATTTGTAATCAGATTAAAATAATATTAGAGTAAAGCTCCAAGTTACTTTCTTGTTCTTAAACACAAACATTAGTTCTTCAAAAATTAGAAATTATCCAATAATTGTGCATTACCTCATAACATTAATTTCATGTTGTATTCTTTCTCATATTCGTTTTCTGTATTTACTGAAAAGTTATTTTAAACTGTGGCCCTCAACGCTCCCCAAATGAAATAATTACATGGATTTAGGTCCGGGGATCGAGGTGGCCATTTTAAAGGGGCATTATTTCCTCTACCTATCCTCCTGTTAGATATGTAATACCTACCTGTACCCTGTAATACCTGTAACCTGTAATAACTGGTGATTTAATACTCTATTAAAGGAACTTTTTGAAAGCCGACCTCTGCCGCTAAACGCCTTTTTATTTACTTGAGAAATTTCTTCGACCCTTTCCAAAATTTGTTCCTCCAGCTGAATAATTCCGGCCGTACATTATCCACGATTTAATGTTACAGGTAAAAAACGTCCTGTTTCCCGAAAGCGTCTCTCCGCATTAGTAAATGTTTTGTGATTTGAAGTTCTTCGATTAGGAAATCTTTCAGCATATGTTCGAACAGTCGCACAACAATTTTCTTCATAGTAACCCAAAACTACTAACATATCAGTTTGTTCAGCAAAAGTATAAATTGCAATAAAAAACAAAGTAAGCCAAAAATAAATCACAGCTAGCTTGACACAGAACCTTTTAATTATTGTTATGAATTTGTTTCTCTGTTACATGGCACCTCGTACTAGAATGTTCTATTTATCTTAAACTGATTTTATATTATTTAATATGTAAAAAATGCCAATTTTACTCGAAATCTATAAACGATATCAAAATTTTGTAAGAGGCAAAGAATCTTCTAAAATAGTGCTTATTTTTAAAAATATAAATTCTGTCGTCATTGGCGTACAGGCAAAGAGAACATCCTGTATATGTATTCTCACCAAATTCTACATTTACATTGCCCTTATATAAAAAAAATATGTGTACCAAATTTGAAGTTTCTAAGAAAAACAGTTTTCAAATTATTTGAAAAAAAAACTAGGTTATCTGTTCTATATTTAAAAGGCTATATCTCAGTAGGCGTGCACTTTTGTATATAGGTAAGTTAGGCTAAATAGTCTTGTTTTCATTCAAGGAACCTGTGATCAAGCGTTGTTCATCCTTTTCAGGGACACCCTGTATATCTATTAATTTTCAAAATGTCAAATGACATACAAGGACATCCTCGAAACATTTTTTGATCCCAGATACCGACATAAAATTTGACGCTGTATCTATTGGTAACAATAAAATGGTACATTCCATTTGACATTAAGTTGCCCTTAGTTTGACCTTGAACTTGGGGTGAAGGTCAAATCCAAGGTCATAAGCTATTTAAATCCTAGCAGCTTTATTTAAAACATTTTTGTCAAGTTATTTTTTCAGAGATAAATTCGTTTGACCTTCAAATGACTTGCTGATATAGAGCTATAAAGGAGGAGGAGCTATAAATTGCTATATATGATATATGTAAATACTTTTGAGTAACCTGGTATATATGTTGTACTATTTCTGTCAGCGAGCCATTGCTTTTTGCTCTTCTTTTTGTTTGTAAAGAGCTGATAAAAATCTCGATGTACGGCTTTAGACAGACATTCCTTTGTATAAAATTAGCAAATAAACATTTAAAAATAAAGGCGTTACAATTTATTACAAAAAAATAGTATGTTACATATTTCCAAATTAACCTAAGTTTCACCTTAAAACGGTAAATTGCAGGTCTAATGTATTAGACCTTGTAATGTCATCAACATATTGGTTTCTTTTTTGATGTAACTCAATCTTGAAAAATTATTGCGATTCATTACGAGATACTGAAGACTATTCACAGCTTTGGGTAAATGATAGATAAAGACAACACAGTAAAAATAAAAATGAAGTAACCAAATCCTTAATGAGTAACTAGTTTATAAATATTACGATTTTTGCATCTTCCTGGGCAGAAATTATTATTTCTTTATAGAATTACTGATGCAGGTGCAGGTTAACTTTTAGATTGTTGTCTTTTAATAAATAGACTGATTAGAATTTTATTCGCGTTTCATTCAACACTTGTTTATTTAATTAGTTATCTTGAAATAAAATTGTCAGTATATTTACATTTCGTATTTGGTGAATATTTTTAGTACAGTTGATTTAAATAGATGTCGCATCCCTAAAAACTGATCTATGAATGAATAGTTGATATTTTTCACGAATAACTATTTATTATGATTCGATATATCCAGGTTCGTTCTGAGTTGATGAACATAAAATGATGCAATCCCTTAATCAGCAAATAGAGTTTATAGAAAATAACTTAGTTTGCCATTTTACTGATTTAACTTCTAAAATAAGTAAAATGAATATTACCTCCTATAGTTGAAAAAACTGAAAATATATTTGTACCTATATATCTATAGTCATTAATAAAATATTTGTCATAATTATCATTTGGGTAATCTAATTCACAGGCACACAAAAAAATGTCAAGACCCAGAGAGTAGACCCCTCTATCCGTATTTGGGGTCAATGAAACTGAATATGACCATTAAAAAAATTTAACTAGCCATTTCCCCGTTACCACCACCATGCATCCCCTTCTGGGACGTGAAATGTCAATTCTCATACAAAGTCGAGTAGGGTGAGTATTCCTTTGTATTCCGGGACACTAAGAACGAAGAAGTCTACCAAAAATTAATAAGACTGCCTCGTTACCGCCTAGCATCACTTTACCAACCCCATATATCCCTTTATGGGGGTTGAAATATCAATTTTCATACAAAGTCGAGTGGGTCGTGTATGT